TAGAAATGTTTTCTTTTTTTCTTATAAAACTGAAAAATCTTCACATATGGTAAAATATTAAATACCCATCTCTTTTACAGAACTTTCCACCCAGCAACCTGAGTTTCGTAAAGTGTACTTTACCAGGAAGTACCACAAACTTTTCTGTGTCAATAACAAACTGTCCAAGGCTTCTGTGTAAAACCATGAAAATAGTAAGGAAGTACAATCCAACAGACAGCCTGCACAGTGACTGTTGGCTCCTGTGAGGAAACAGGAACAGGTATTTATAGAAAAAACTACACCACCTCGGTCAATCAGTTTTCTCCTCCTGCGTGCTGCCAGGCTGCTAGAGCCCAGGCACGGTTCCTGCCACTGTGTAGGAGAAGCCTGGGCTGGAGGCACAGCGTTTCCCTTGCACACAGTCAGGACTGCGCTTCAGCTCACTTGAACAAGCCAGAGGGAGGGAGTTCTGGAGCCCTAGAACACAGCTGGCTTCTGCAGCCCACAGACATGTAGCAGCTTGGAAAGGAAGCCTCCAACTTTAAAAGCTATTCGAAGTGCCCTTGCTAAAAACCTCTCCCAGCTAATTTTGGCAGCTCACTTACAGGTGTCACCCGAGTTAAGGGAGTACAGGCAGAGACACTTCAACACCGACTGTGACTGCAGGGGCATCCCCCCACCCTCAGGCTGTTGCACATGTTACATTTCTGCAGGGGAACTTAACAGGAATGTTCTCTGCCCGCAGTAATCGCACACACTGTCAGAGAAGAAAGTGTCCTTTGCCTCAGGAACTCAGAAGCCTGAGTCAAAAGAATTGTTACTTAAACGTTCTTTAAGACTCAAGTACATTACCATTGGTCGAATGAATCGTTCGTATTTAGGAGGCTTCCTAGTAAACCCATCTCCAACAAAACAAACTTTGGTAACCATTCTCTTCCAGGCCTTCTTCTTTCTCTTTCCTGTACAAATCACTTTTAAAACTTCCGTCTCTCCTTGTGCACGGACCTTTGGCACAGGAACCTCCCATTTCCCCTGGAAGGAGAAGGAAAAAATCAATAATCTTACATGCTGCGCTGCTAAATAAAAGGGCACAAACAAAACGTACAACAAAATGTCCCTAACGAGCAGTGATACACTATACTTTTCATGCAACTCGTATCTGCTTATTTTAATTAGCACTTAACATTAGGAGATCATCGGCTTACTTTGTCCTAGGCTGCTCAGTGACTCAAGGTTTCAGGTTTTGCACGGTATCAATACAAATACTGACTCTGAATTTTAATGCAGTTACTTACGGCTTTTTCTTTTCTTTTCTGTTTGATCATGTTGGAGAGAACCTTAGCCCGGGACTGGCCTTCTCTGTCCAGCAGGTATGCTGGCACTGCTCCTTTAGGTGTTTTTTCATCATTCTTTTCCTT